GGGAAAGGGAAAGGGAAAGGGAAAGGAAAGGAAGGGAAGGGGAAGGGAAATTGAAGGAAAGGAAAGGGAAGGAAAGGAAAGGAAAGGCACGTGAGAAAGACCTTGGAGACTGGATAAAGAGATTTAGCCAAGGGATAAAAGACAGCATAGCCCACAGCTGGATAGTAGGTAGGGCAAGAAACTCAGAAGAGACCCTCTGGTTAGTTTCTCAGTTCTAAAGAAGATGAGGGGGAGGAGGGAGATTTGTATTTTCAGACTTGCAAGATTCTGTCAATAAAGTGGAATTAGCTCTTCTAGTTGAGATTCCTATCTGGCTTACCAGGCAAGGCCAACAGGAAAGGAAGGAAGAAATGGATTAATATAACTGAAGACATCTTTAATCATTATTGTTATTGTTGATAGAACTGGCTAGCATGACGGCAGAGATCACACGATTTGATTGCTATACAGAGTATAATTATTATATGGAGATTCCTCCCTTGCTTGACCTTACTTGGCCCTTGAGGAATTCAACATTTGCCTTCTGACATTCCAGATGGCTGACACTGCAACTGGTCTTCTGGAATTCATTTTACCTTATCTTTACTGGCATAAATGCACATTTTCAGTATAAAAACCAAGCATCTCACCTAACTTCACCCTAAAAACAAAAGGTGTTGATTTATTTATTTATTTGCAACATTCTTTCTTAAAGATTCTGCACATTTGAGATAGATTAAGCTTCAGCAAGGATGACAACTCATGAACCACCTTTTTTATTCAAGTTATAGCTGCCTCCTGATCATGTTCCAAAGTCTTTCTGTTTTTTTTTGTTTTTTGTTTTTATGATGTTAAAAATAGACCTGGCTTGGATTCACCTTAACATGGTGGTTTGCTTTAGCGAGTGTATCTGTTTTATTTCAAAACTTCAACAGCAGTTTTAATAGTAGGCTTTTGGATTCAACCTGGTTACTGAATTAGCCAATTTTCTGAAATTACCCAAACCTCCAAACCACAAACCCAACAGGCTGGTTTCACACATTTTAAGATCCGTAGAAATGCACAGGCCGACATTCATGATTTAATCAGAATTTCTGTTGCTAAGTGAGTCATTTGTTAAGTGAGTTTTGCCTCATTTTACGACCTTTCTTGCCACAGTTGTTAAGTGAATCACTACAGATGTTAAGTTAGTCACACGGCTGTTAAGTGAATCTGGCTTTTCCAGTCACAAGTGTGTGAAAAATAGTCCTTTTTCAGTGCCGTTGTAATTTCGAACGGTTACTAAATGAATTGTTGTAAGTCAAGGACTACCTATATTGATCTTGAAGTTCAAAGCAAGTGGCAGAAGTCCAGAAGTGGCAAAAACATTTGCTTTGCATGAAGACTTTTTATATTCTACTGGATGATTACTGCTGAGAAGAGAAATTCTCCTTCCTGGTTTTGTCAAATGAGACAACTCACCAGTGGAAACTCGAAGATAAAGGTTGCGCTACACAGGTAAACACTCAGCTCCCCAAAAAACTTAACCCAGTCGTTTCTTACAGTAGTGGCCAACATTGTGGAAGCCTTTTGGGAAAAGTGTACAGTAGAAATGCCATCTTTGGTTAAGTTTCCACCATTTATTTCTTCTAATTTCTTTATAACTGTAGCCTTGTTCACTTAATAATACTATTTTACATCGCTTTCTGGGCAACCAGTCAACTCTTTGCACCGTGACTTTAATTTTATTACGTTTTACAAGCTCACTAATGAAAGAACACAAAAAAACCCCAACCAACTTGATAGCCATCACATAACACACTGACAAATGTCCTCCTCTCAGCTTCAATACGTGACATCGATAACAGAATCCTACTGTGATCTGATTGGCTCATGGCCAAAGCAAGATGATACCTGATTGGCTCTCTAAACACTCATGCTCATTGGCTACAATCAGATGAAGGAAAGCTACCTGAGATCAACCTAAGCAAGTTGTGCTTCCTTTTTCTGGTTATTGGGCTATAACTTTTCATAGAATACAGTACAGATAATTGAACAAGCTTTGTTGCATTACATTCTCGATTAAATTATCTTTCCACTGATATATAATTTTATGGTAGTACTCAAAAAAAAAAGTGGTGTTGTTAGCCATCAAACCTCAAAAATACGCTTTTCCCAAAAGGTTTCCACACTTTTGGCCACCACTGTATATCTCCAGTCTTTAATTGCCTTGACAATCCTATTAGTTTTCATTCCATTGAACTGGTCTTGTTTCATGGGGTTAAAAAACAGTCTTTTGAGTTTTTCATTCAGATTTTGAAAATGCAGGTTTGTTGTGTGTGTGTGTTTTTTTTAAAATGCTGATGTTGAAGGATTTTCATCCTTTCGGCTTGCCTTTCAAACCAGCCACTTGGAAACATTGCAGTTTTCCATCCTTCTGATGAATGGTGTTTATACTTTTCAGCCTGTGGCTGGGTAAATCAATATTTGGGCTGCCCGTGGGCTGGTTCAGGATTAGTGGAAAGTCTTTTTGGCTGGATGCTGGAATTCTTTCCTTAATTAAAAAACGGGTCTCTCTTCTTCTACTGCAGACAGCTTAACCTGTCTGTTCTGCTGCAGGCCGTGGGCTGGGGAATAATATTATTTCCCCCGACATGCTCCTTCTCATTCCTTTTTTCCTCCAAACATCGCTGGGCCTTCATCTCCAGGTCTGTTGCTTATTGACCTTGCCAGCTGCTCCAGAGTTGATTATACCCTTCCAGGGCATGGCCAGCTCTGGTTTCCACCAGATGAACACTCAAGACAGGGACTTGATGTTGCATTGGCTTCCTTCCATTGACCACCTTCCTCTGTCTTCTACAATCTGTGCAATCAGAAAGTTTAGTTCTTGGTTCTGCTCACTAAGTAGCTGGTAAAGCTACTGGATAGGCAGAAAGGGTGAGTTTCTCCATCCATCAATCAATGGATCACAAAGTTTTCTCCACCCAATTTTCTCCATGCACACATTCTCCTAAACTTGGTTAAGCACACAGCTTGGGTGGATTATTGGTAGGAATGTCCATGGGGGTGGGTTCGAAAAATTAAGATGGCAGTTTTGATCACGTGACCAAAATGCGTGTTGGAAGGGGTGGGGCTTTGATTGTCAAGTTGTCACAACCACCTTCTTCCTAGGCTCCTGATTATTTTTGACCTGAGGAAGCCCCAGCCTTTGGTTCGCTTTGCAGTTCAATATACTGTGAAAAAACAACTTGTAAATTTAGGACCCCAGTTAAATATGTGTGGACACAGCCACAAATTTATTGTGAAGTGATCCTGTGGGAGGTAACTCTCTGCATAGTGCTCATATCCTTGGAGGGAGATTGAAATGTTATAAATAAATGCTTTGAGTTTTAAATTTTCCTCCATCTCTAATTTGGAATTAGAAGAAAGGATATTTTTGCCAAAATGACTTTTAGGAATGCCAAAAACACAGACTGCTTTCATGCTTGTTCTGCATCTGATCAACACATGCAGCTGTAAAAGAAAAGTTGTTATTAAAAGATGGCTTTATTTATTCCTGAAAGATTCTCTCCATCTTTCTTCCCTTAAATGGAGTAGTCCATCAAAAAGAGGTACAACTCAAGCAAAATAATTCAAGCGAAACAATTCAACAACATCTTATAAAATCCTAATATTAAACCTCCCCTCTAAAGTCAAGGACAAGCAATCCAGATTATGTATACAGATAGTCCTCAGTTTACAACTGTTCATTTAGTGACCATCCAAAGTTACAACAACCACTGAAAAAAGTGACTTATGACTATTTTTCACTCTTAGAACCATTGCAGCATCCCCAGGGTCACGTGATCAAAATTCAGATGCTTCGCAACTGGTTTGTATTTATAATAATAATAATAAAGTTGGAAGGGACCTTGGAAGTAATCTAGTCCAACCCCCTGCTCAGGCAGGTAACCCTGTACCATTTCAGACAAATGGTTGTCCAGTCTCTTCTTAAAAACTTCCAGTGTTGGAGCATTCACCGCTTCTGGAGGCAGGTTGTTCCACTGATTAATTGTTCTCACTGTCAGGAAATTTCTCCTTAGTTCTAGGTTGCTTCTCTCCTTGGTTAGTTTCCATCCATTGCTTCTTGTCCTGCCTTCATGCGCTTTGGAGAATAGCTTGACTCCCTCTTCTTTGGGGCAGCCCCTGAGATACAGAAACCCTGCTATCATGTCCCCCCTCGTCCTTCTCTTCATTAAACTAGACATACCCAATTCCAGCAGCCTTTCCTATATGCTTTAGCCTCCAGTCCCCTAATCATCTTTGTTGCTCTTCTCTGTACTCTCTCCAGAGTCTCAGCATCTTTTTTACATCGTGGTGACCAAAACTGGATGCAGTATTCCAAATGTGTCCTTACCAAGGCCTTGTAAAGTGGTATTAACACTTCACGTGATCTTGATTCTGTCCCTCTGTTAATGCAGCCTAGCTGTTGTACAATTTCCTATCCACATAGAAAATGAGACGTGCAAACCCCCTTTAACCTAGGTGTGGATCCAAGAAACTCACAGTCTTTTCACCCTAGAAATAAATTCCCATTTGGCACCTCTGCAGTCCTCCTACAGGGCGATTCTATCAGCTTTGGTGTGTCAGCAAGCACACTTGGAGTCCTCTGGGTAAAGGGAGCCCTCTAAACATCTTCAAACTGGCCACGTTACCCCTTGTCTGCATTGCTTGCCCATATATAGAGCCAGTAAAGAGTTTGGGGCACAGAAAATTCACATAGATGGAAAGCATCTCCAACAGCACATTAATTAACCCAAGGCTAAGTTATCCTTTTGAAGATGGAGCTGCCTACACCGCATTAGTATGTCAAATGAATGATCGGGGGG